ATTTTTTTATTCAAAATGAATGGAAGGCACCCTGATTATAAGTATAAAAATCACTTGTGTAAAGGAAACTTCCTCCCGCACGAAATAGACAATTTTCGGTTTCCACACTTTACCAATGTTTGTACCATTTCTGATAGTGATGACTATGTTTCTACCTCGTTTGTCAGCTCAGATAAGCAAATGACGTTCGATAGAATTATTTACATCATCATTTTGAATGATTTTCGTTATGGGGCTCAACCAATACCATATGCATTTCAATTTGGGATGACAATAATTCTACAGAAAGCATTACGTATTTTACCTGTGGTCCACACGCTTCTCGTATAAATGTTCATCCTGTATTCTGAAGGAGCATCATCTGATTGCAAAACAACCGTCATCCGGTTGCAGCTATCATTCGAAAAAGCGATTACGGTGTTTAGATATGATTGGATGTTTTGGTATAGTGTAGAAATTTCTCCATTCGAATGAGTAAAGGTGACTCAAAACTGAGTAAAAGTGACTGACTATCTGTGTTAGTTTCGTTTTTAGTGAAATATCCTCGTCAAATTTTTTGCATAAAAAAAATTCTGGTGTAATTTGTTTTTCAAAGTGGTTCATGGAGGGTTAAAAGAAGAGGGTAAATTTAAGGTTAAAAAAATCACCTTCGTGGAGGTAAATTAAAGAAAAAGCTTTTTATTGAATAATTCTGGTGATAATCAATGAATAATTCTGGTGGTAAAATTGAATCATGCAAAAAATTTGGAGGTGCACATTTAGCTGAAAATTTCTGATGGAACGTTCGCAACACTTGTTGAAGCAAGGTTTATTCATGTGCATAATTTGCATCGTTCTAATGAATGCAAGCTTCAATGAAAATTTATGGTGGAAAATTTGCACCATTCTGGTGCATGAAGAGGCAAAGCCTGAAAATTGCACCACAAAGGTACGTGGTGAAACAAACTTCACTGACAATTTTTGGTGCACCGTTCTGGTGAATGAAGGAACATGCTTTATTGAAAATTTCTGGTGCAAAATTTGTTTCGCTCTGATAAATGAAATGAACAGAAAATTTCTGGTGGAAAACTTTCAGTGGTCTGGTAAATCAAGGCACAAGCTTTATTTAAATTAAGCTATATTGAAAACTACTGGAGGAAAATCTGCACCGTTCTGGTGAACGGATGGGCAAACTTTTCGGAAAATGTTTGGTCTCAAATTCACATCCTTTTGCTCAATAGAGGAACAAACTTTAATAATAATTTCTAGTGTAAAATTTGCATTATTCTGATGATTGGAGGGAAGCTGCTTTACTGAAAATTTATGCTGAAAAATCTGAAAATAGGGGCAAGCTTTATTTGGTGGGAAACTTGCAACATTCTGATGATAGGAGAAGCAAGCTATATTTAAAATGTCTGGTGGAAAATGGAAAATGGAAAAAGGATATCTGTACCAATCGGAAGATTGGAGAACCATTCTTATTGAACATTAACGGTGGAAAATTTGCATCATTCTGGTCAATTGAAATTTTCTGGGGAAAGTTGTATTGAAAATTTCTGGTGCAAGATTTTCAACAATCTGCTGCATGGAGGCGATAGCTGAATTGAAAATTCCTGATGTAAACATAGCACAGTTCTGGTGGAAGGAGGGGCAAGCTTTATTGAACATTTCTGGTAGAAAAAACTACAACGTTTTGGTGAATGGACGGACAACTTAAACTTGACTTCCGAGAAGAATTCTGAAGACAAGTTCCAAAAAAATGATTTCTGTCTATGGTTATGAAAATTCTGCGAATAATTTCTAGTGAATCCTGCAGATAGTTCCTAGATAATTTTGAACAGAATACCGAGAGAATCAAATTTTGAATGAAATTCCAAAGTGATGTTGGGGAAAATTTCAAGCTCTTTTTGGGAAGAATTTCTGGATAATACAGAGGAAATTCTTCAGACAATTTAGGGAAATTTCAGTTCCTAGGTGTTCTGAGAAAAAAAAGTTCTAAAATATTCCGAGAAGAACCTCAATGATATTGAATTCCTAGGACAGTTCCAAAATATTTCTAGAGAGAATTCAAAGAAAAATCTGCGGATAATTTCCAGTACATCCTGCAGCTAGTTCCAAGATAATTTCGAAAAGAATACCGAGAGGAGAGCAAGATTTTAAACAAAATTTCAAGCGAATTCTGAGAAAAATTTCTAGCGCATTCAGTTCCAAGGTGTTCTGAGAAAAAATCATAAAGAGTTCTAAATAGGGGAATTTACGTATTCTCGGCAACCTAACCAGTGACCTTCTTTCTATAGCCTTTTTCTCTAAGGAACGCACACATATGCAGTATTGGTTTGTTTACAATCTTTTGCTGCCAGCTGATCTAGCAATTTCAGTCGAAAGAATGGTCAAAAACTGTTTTGAAACGCTTTTACAAAGCTCCAATCTTCTCTAGTGAGAGCGAGTATTGTCGGCAATCAATTTTTCTTCGGCAACCGTTCCATTTGAACTGCATGTAAATCTGCTGTTCTATTATCGGCAACTCGAAATCAGCTACAATTTGTAGTGCGTGTGTTGCATTTCAAGAAAACCTTGCTAGATTGCTTTTTCTCAGTGTTAAAAATATAGTCAAATTGAAGCTGAAAGCATAAAGAATCGTTTGCATGCATTCAGCGAAGTGTTTTCGTAAGAAAATCCAGTGAAAATAGTGTTTCAATTTGTGTTGCCGAAAATAGTCTGTCATGCCGAAGCCGTCATTTCCCCTATAATTCCAGTGGACTTCTGAGAAGAATTTCAAAAGAGCTCTTAGGAGAGTTCTAAAAAATCCGACAAGATCCTCAAGGATATTGATTCTTGAGGACAGTCCCAAAGAATTTTTAGGGAGTATTCCATGAAAATTCTGTGAATAATTTCTAGTGAATCCTGTTATAGTTCCAAGATAATTCCGAAAAGAATACCGAGAAAATTAAATTTTGAGTAAAATCCCAAAGGGATTTTAAGGAAAATTTTAAGGGAGTACCGATAATTTATAGCTCATTCCGGGAATAATTTCTGGATAATACTGGGGAAATTCTTCTGAAACTCTAAGGGAATTTCAGTTCTAAGGTGTTCTGAGTAAAAGTTGAGAGTTCTAAAAATAATTCCAAGGGACTTCTAAGAAGAATTCCAAAAGAGCTCATAGAGTTAAAACAAAAAGCTTTTGGATTCCCTAATTGAAAAGTGAGTACTAGTTTGCCATTGAACCTTGGTCGATTGTTGTCTTACTAAAAAATCGTCGAAGAATCTTCTCTGAAAATGTCAATGAACAGCTTTGAGTGTGTTGGTTTGTTTCCTTTTAATTCCGTTATGATTGCTTATCTTTTGACAGATACGCATATTTCGTCTACTACTTGCTGACTTCATCAGTGCCAAGCACTCAATATTACTGATCAAGATTGGATTGTTTGTTCACTGCTATGAGCACTGTTTGAGCCTTGTACTTGTCGACGCAGTGTGCATGCGAAAGGAGAATGCGATTCTTATTGGTCATTCATCTCGGTCTGTCGATGCTATCACCACCAACTGACGTGACTTCAGCTGAATTCAACCACCAAGGCAACAATATTGCAGCAAATGTATAATTTCGGATAAAGTCCTACTATCGCAACCATTTGACGAACCGATCATCATCGACATCGTCGATGGGATTAAAGCAAGCAGTTTGCATTGAAGAAGATTAAGCTTAATTGAACAGTAGGGAAAAAGTGGGAGGAGGACAGCACCATCTACGACGTACTTTGGAGTACTCCCCATCCCCAGATTAAATGCACCAAAGAAAAAAAAATGCCCCTCCTTAACAAGATTCCTGTGCACGCTAGTGTGTTTGACCCATAAAACCTGTCAATTTTGCTTTCAGAGAAATAGGTCAGGTCTGGATCAGTCTTGTCCAGCCTGTTTTTCAACTTGGAGATTAAATCTCCCGGATACAGTTTAAGCTTAATATCCTCAGACATTACTAGGCCAGGGCTAATTACCGTAATTGGGTTAAAACGTTTAACCAAAGAAACAAATTATTGATCCTCTAGGAGTAAAAAATCCCACTACCTACGTCGCTTTTCTTCGACCGACGCACCCTAATTAAAAAGGAGCTTAAGTGAACGAAAACCAAAATGATAGAACTATTCCACAAATGGTGTGGATGATATCCCGAGCAATGTGAAATATTTGATAAGGGGCTGTCAAACAACCTCGTCAACACCCAAAGGGGGGAAGAGCTGCGGGGGATCAGTGAATGTTTGCAGATCATCTAAATTTTCAAACCAAATTATGGATTATTATCGAAGCTTCCACGTGCTTAGGTCTTAAATCTCTCAGAAATCTGTCTACGTATAGTTTAGTGAGAGTGAGTGAAAAGAGATCGTATGAAAGTTTGACTACTCTGAATAACTCAAACCTGACAACAGAAGCTTTGCCGCTCCTTCACCCGCCTATGTAAATCATCCATACCATCCAAGAGAAATGTAGATGAGCTAAAGCCACAAGCATCAACCGGAGTCACACCCGAGCTGGGACCCCGGGTTGTCAGTGTGTTGTTCAAAAATTCTGCAACCTTCAGCTACATCCCTGCTCCGATAGGAAACCACATTTCATCTGAGCTCGGGATCCGGTCGTCGTCGTCGTCGTCGTCGTCGTCGCTGTTTCGCTCCCTCCTGCGAGTGAATGGCGGGAATAAAAGACCCCAGGAACAGAAATTTCCATATTCCAAGCCCTGCGCAATGCCACCACGTCACGTCACGATACCACGAACGCGAGTAGTGCTGCAGCGAAAATATGGAATGTCATAAATCAGAGAAATGCAATGCAATTGTACTTTATTAGTTTTGAAATGCGTATCGATCCCGGTATAACTCAAGTACAATGTAGGCGACTGTGTTCTTTGGATTGTGAATACGGATGTGGGATTGTGGCACAAACTAGAAGTAATTTGCACCTTTTCCAGAGATAACGTCTCTATACCATTATTAATGGCAATTCCGTTTTGCTTCGTTTCTTCTTTTCAGACAAACCGATCTGCCGGCCGGATCAGAAGAAAATCTACGGCGTGGCGCGGAACGAACCGGCCGAGATCCTGTGTCAGGTGGACGCCTATCCCCCGCCGGAATCGTTCAAGTGGTCCTTCAACAACACGGCGGAAACGATCGATATGCCCCAGAGTGGCTACCGGGTGCATTCCGATCAGGCGTCCTCCCTGACGTACACACCGGTCAAGGTGAGTGCAGTTCATGCAAAGAAACTTATTTATGTTATACCTTTTTGCGTTTTATAAACTTTTTATTTGTTCTAAATTCAAAACGAATACATTTCATTCAACCTTGGTGCTCCAGCTACTACAGTAGCTGACCAGCCTTAATTGTTATGATTTATATCTACGTGTTTTTACATTATTCCTACCTTGACAATTCAGTATTTTGAACAGGTTTTCTAAACCTGCCTGTCAGAATAACAATTTACATCTTAAAACTAAAAATTAAAACTAAATCATTTGTAAGTATGAAGGGAATTAATCACTACAATTGAGGATACCTCAGTAGAACTGTACCAGGAAGGCAACTTCAAAATCATCTTCAGAACTTTGTTCTGAATCCTTTGAAGTGCTTTTTTCCTGGTAGTGCAACAACTAGACCATATTGGTACAGCATAAAGCATGGCCTTTCTAAAAACTTGTTTATATCTAAGAAGTTTATTTGTCAGTTTGGATTTCCTGTTTATAAGAGGATACAAACATTTTATATGTTTGTTACATTTGGCCTGAATGCCCTCAATGTGATCTCTAAAAGTTAATTTTTGGTCAAGTACTAATGCAAGATTTTTCACTTGGATTGACCAGGAAATTGGAACTCCGTTCATAGTGACTATGTGACTACTAATAGGTTTCAAAAACGAAGCTGTAGGCTTATGTGGAAATATTATAAGTTGAGTTTTGGAAGCGTTGGGAGAAATCTTCCATTTTTGTAAATAAGAAGAGAAAATTTCTAAACTTTTCTGCAGTCTGCTGCAAATAACACGAAGATTTCTTTCTTTAGAGGAAATGCCTGTGTCATCAGTGAAAAAAGATTTGTGGCAACCCTGAGGCAAATCAGGGAGGTCCGAAGTAAAAATGTTATACAATATATGCCCAAGAATGCTATCCTGAGGAACTCATGCTCTAACAGGTAGTCCTTCAGATTTGGAATTTTGATAATTTATCTACTGAGTTCTGTCAGTTAAATAATTTTGAACTAATTTCATAATATAGAAAGGAAAATAAAACTTTTTCAAATTGGCAATCAAACCTTCATGTCAAACACTGTCGAATGCTTTTTCTTTGTCTAGAAGGGCAACTCCAGTTGAGCAGCCTTCAGATGTGTTTATACGAATTAAATTGATAACTCTTAAGAGTTGATGAGTCGTTGAATGCCCATGGCGAAATCCAAACTGCTCATCTGCAAAAATTGAGTTCGTATTGATGTGAAGCATCATTCTATTTAAAATTATCTTTCCAAAAAGTTTACTTATTGAAGAAAGCAAACTTATTGAAATGTAGCTAGAAGCTTCAGCTGAATTTTTATCTGGCTTCAAAATTGGAACAACTTTTGCATTTTTCCATTAATCAGGAAAGTGTGCCAAATGGAATCATCTGTTAAATAAATGTTTGTTAAATGTTTGTTTATGACAATATAGAAAATTCCATCACCACCTGGAGCTTTCATATTATGAAACTTTTTTGTTATAGATCTCACTTCGTCCGAATCAGTCCCCCAAGAATCATCAAAAATATTTTCCCGAGAGAAAATATTCAGATAATCCCGAGCAAACTGATTCTCAATAGGACTAGTAAGATCCAAACTGAAATTATGGGAACTCTCGAATTGCTTAGCAAGCTTCTGAGCTTTTCCCGAACATGTGATCAAAATTTTACCACCTTCTTTAAGCGCTGGAATAGGCTTTTGAGGTTTTTTTTTTTCAAAATGTTTGTGGGTTTCCAAAAGGGTTTGGAACTCGGGTCTAATTTAGAAACATTAATTTCAAAAGTTTTGTTCTTCAGGGCAGAGAATTGCTTTTTAAATTGTTTTTGAAAATCCCGGCAGATAGCTTTCATGGCAGAATTGCGTGTTCTTTGATATTGCCTCCTACGGACATTTTTCAGACAGATCGAGGGCTGAAAATCGTCGTCTATATTAATTGAAAAACTTCGCATTTTTGGTACTGAGGCAGCTTTTGCTTCAACTATAGAAGTAGTCAGAGATTCAAGAGCATAATTAACATCATCTTTGGTTTGCAAAGGAATGTTTGGATCAAAGCTTTATTCTATAAATGTTCGATATTGCTTCCAATCAGCTCTATGATAATTGAAAGTAGAGCTGTTGGGATTAGAAATTATTTCTTGGGATATTTCAAAACTTACTGGAAGGTGATCAGAACCGAAGTCAGCATGAGTAACCAATTGGCTACAAAGTTGACATGAATCAGTTAAGACCAAATCAATATTTGAGGGATATCTTGCTGAAGAAAAGCATTTTGGGCTGTTTAGATATTGAATAGTATAATAACACGCAGGATAATAACAAACAGAATATTAACATTTGAATTGCTTTGAGCATTATTCCATGAGCGGTGTTTTGCATTGAAATCACCAATAATGAAGAATTTAGACCTATGACGCGTAAGTTTCTGAAGGTCACCCTTGAGAAAAATTCTTTTGCTGGCCTACGCATTGGAATGGCAAATAGTCAGTTATAAACGTAAGTTGTCCAAATTTTGTTTCGACAGAAACTCCCAAAGTTTCAAAAACTTTGGTTTCAAAGAATCTGTAAATATGTTTTTTTAAATGCAATGTTGGAATTTCGTTTTCGATTTTAATTACTAACTAAATTCCATTTAAGTGGTACACTAGAAATGTGTCACGCGTCACCAAGTCAACGAAAGTGTTTCTGAAGCAACACCCCGAGATAGTAATCATCTAGGCAGACAAAGAGAACAGAACCGTGGTGATGAGACGCTGAATCGGGATCCAACATCAGGATATCAAGTAAAAAGCAATCAGTTCGCGAAGCGACTAGCAGATCTGAAACTCATCGATCGGGCCACCGAAATGAAGTTGAAGACGTACAAGGCTACGTCCCCTCGAATCTACGGTGCCCCCAAGGCACACAAAGAGGGTTTGCCGTTGAGACCAGTAGTCCCAAGTAACAATTTGGGTTTTATGAGGGTACTGTAGACCATGATTTAGACTTGTAGAGTGCTTTAAAACCTCAATAAAACTTACAATGTTACTTGGGTTACCATGCATGACGTCACCTTCCTACACGCTCTCGCAGTTCGTTGGTAAAATCATACAGAAGTCCATCGCTGGTAGATACAACGTGCCAAATTCATTCATCTTCTGTGAGTACATCAATAACGTGCAGCTTCCGCCCGGCTAAGTCCTGATTTCTCTGGATGTAGTGTCGCGTTGCGAGAGCTTTACACGGTAACCGCAAAATACCCAATAATGACTACAAATTAAGCATTTTCGAGGGAAACTGGGACTACCCATTAAATGAGGCAAATTTTACCCATTTATGAGTAATTACAACTACAAAAACAAGTAATAAGTATTCATTTTTGAGTAACAAATACTCATAAATGGGTAATATTTTTACTCATTTAATGGGTAGTCCCAGTCTCCCTCGAAAATGCTTACTTTGTAGTCATTATTGGGTATTTTGCGGTTACCGTGTAGCTAGTGATGAAACGTCGCTAGAACTATTCCACAGCCGCAGTTAAGTAATGAGCAAAAGGAGGACGCACATCTTTTGCCTGTAGACTTGAAGGCATACTTCAAGTCTCCGCGTACATCGTACGGGTTAGGCAAAAGATGTGTGTTTGACTTTATACTGTTGCATTAATGGCCCTTCGCTCATTTTCAACTTCTATTCAATTTTCATTCTACTGTAGTGCCTCTAGTTGTCGTAGCAAGCAACTATTGACAGCATTTTGATCCGAAAGGATTGTTTATTTAGTAGTGAAAATTTCATCACGATTCATATACTTGTTCAAAAGTTGTCGAAGATGGAACATGACAGACGTGAAAAAATTCTGCACACTCACGTGCAAAATCCAATGTGGTCAGGAGGAATGATTGCAAAGGCTCTCAAATTTCCAAAATCGACTGTAAATACCGTGCTTAAACGATACCGGGAAACACTAACGTTGGATCGTGCAAAACAAAACAAACGTAGAAGTGGAACATATGACAGAAAACTACGAGCGAAGGTCATACGGGCAGTCCAAAGAATCTTGGGATCTCCGGTCGTGATTTGGCGAAAAGGTTCAGTGGAGCACACAGTACAGTTCGACGAATCTGTATGCGAGAAGGTTTCCGGTCAAACATCCCAACATAACGCTGACATAAAACCTGGTTGCCAAAAACGGTGCAAGGAAGCAGTACGAGCAAGTTCTGACCAAGTATAACGGATGTATTTTGATGGACGATGAAACTTATGTAAAAATGGACTTTGGACAAATCCCGGGCCAAAAATTTTACTTTCCTAAACGTAAGGAGGATGCTCCGGATAAATTCAAATTTGTCTTTGCAGATGATGATTTGGCAAGGCATCTGCAGTTGCGGAAAGAAAACAAAGGTTTTCATCACTGGAGCGACTATGAATGGACAACTTTTCAAGGAGGAGTGTCTCCAGAACATAATGTTGCTGTTCATTCAATCACACGAAACTCCCGTAATGTTCAGGCCTGACTTAGCCAGCTGCCATTACAGCCGCGATGTCATAGAATGGAATAAGCAGAATAATGTCGATTTTATTGAGAAAAGTATCAATCCACCAAATGGTCCAGATTTTCGCCCCATTGAAAAAATTTGAGCAATTATCAAGCGCAAATTGAAGAAATATGGCAAAAAGTGGTGGAAAAGGATGGTAGATGAGGTTGACAGTACTACTGTGCAAGACATGATGACAGGTATTCCGCGAAACGTTCAAAAATTCATCAGAAAAGCTGACGAATGATTTTTGTTGTATTTAAAAACAAATCCTACAAAATGATATCTTTAACTTTTTTGTACTTTATTTCCCCGTGGAGAAATGACCATTTTTGTACGACCAAATTCTAAATGGAACAGACTTTATAAGAATTCGAAGGATCGAAGATGAATTTTACAAGTCTATGTCCAAGCAGGGTAGGGTCCAAACAAGGATTAAAGAGGAATAAAGGTCGAAAAAGTTAGAAAATGTG